TGTACGTGTGCGAGAAAGCTACGAAATATCGTAGATACGGACTGCAAACTACTTGTGACAACGATGGAGATTGCCCTAGGCCTAGCGCTATTCCCACAAACTTCCAATTTTCTTTAGCCGCCATCCGTATATTACAGTATTTCGTTTTGAAATTTGCGAACATACAGCAATCTATATTTACATTTCATTTTGATAAGTAAATTTGCAAACGTAAACAATCTGTGTGATTGGCCAATTTTGACATCTGTTTAAAGTGGGCGTAGCCCGCAGGCTAAGTGGGCGGAAATGGCAAAGCAAGGGGTTTCGTGCAGGCTCTACTTTCTCTGAGCCGTTATGCAGGCTAGAGCGCCGCTTATTTAGTGAGCGGCGTTTGATCGATCATTTACAGTAAACAACACTTTGCTGTAAATTCTTCACAGAAGCAAAATAGCTCTATTTTGAGATTTGATTGTTCAGCCCGGGGCTGAGATTTCATTCTTGGTTTGAGCTGAAATTTGAACACATGTAATCGTGAAACAATTTCAGCTCGGTTAACTGGGCTAAAATTAAGCCCAGGCTGAGAACTCTCCATATAATCAGCTCCTAGCTTTAATATAGCATGATTAAGGTTACAGGACACCCTTTTTGGCGTTTTGCGGAAAATCGTTACTGCGCGCTCAAAATCAGTCCGATTTTCATCAAATTTTCACCAAATGTTCGCCAGTGCATGCAAAATATGGTAACCTTGTAAACTTGACAAACAATAAAATAATGTAAGAATTATTCAAGAAAATCATAAGTCGCGGTACCTTTACGCTTTTGAGTTATGTTCCTGCTGGTTTTAAGATATATTTATGAAAATATCATTTTTATACAGTAAAATAGTTGTTCTAAAAAATCGTGTTCGGAAATTTTTGTTTATTTCGTCATTCCGCTGATATGGCGATTTCTTTGACGACTGCGATATATTTCTGAATCGTTTGTGTGAATTGCTCCTTATTAATAAAATATCCAAAATTAGAACAAAGCCGAACACAATTTTGAAACTGCATGACGTCTTTAGCTATGTCCTGTGAAAATTTGAGAAAAATTCGTTAAAACCCGCAGGAGCACAACTCGTTTAAAAATCAGTAATTGCCGTAAAATTCTTCGGGAGAAAATTGAATTTGAATATTACATTGTCAATGTTTTTCTTATTGCAGCGAAATGTATTTTATTAAATAACTCTGCGAGTTTTCAACATTTTTCTTCCAAACTTGGTCAGATAGTAGAGTGTATATCCACACCGGGCGAGCTTGAAAAATATGCAATCTCACCGTGGCCGGGCATATTTTTCAAGCTCGCCCGGTGTGGATATACACTCAGAGGAACACCACAAATATCATATTCACCTGAGTACACTACACCAACACAGAAAAAATTCATATTACTAGAAAACATTGGTATTGAAGGAACTAGATTCTGTTCCGAAATATCACTTACTCGAACCATCCTGACCGCGTAGCTCAGTTGGAAGAGCATTGGGCTAGTATTCCAAAGTCGTAGGTTCGAATCCCACCGTGGCCGGGCATATTTTTAAGCTCGCCCGGTGTGGATATACACTCAGAGTAACACCACAAATATCATATTCACCTGAGTACACTACACCAACACAGAAAAAATTCATATTACTAGAAAACATTGGTATTGAAGGAACTAGATTCTGTTCCGAAATATCACATACTCGAACCGTCCTGACCGCGTAGCTCAGTTGGAAGAGCATTGGGCTAGTATTCCAAAGGTAGTAAGTTCGAATCCCACCGTGGCCGGGCATACATGTATTTTTCAAGCTCGCCAGGTGTGGATATACACTCAGAGTAACACCACAAATAGTTTCAAAATGTTGCATCTGGACGAAAATTACTTTGTGTAAATCCAGTCACCCAATGAAAATAAAGTGCATTATTATTATTAATAGGCACAAAAATTACTAAAATAGTTGAAACTTCAATAAAATTTCAATTGTGTTACCATGTCGAAATATTCTACCAACTGTTTTTGTAGCCATAGATGTTTTCTTAAACCATGCAATGTTCAATCTTACAAACTGTGAATGCAGATTTGCAGTGGCATAGTGACGTATAACCACAGTGGCCCAGGCTCTGTGTGGTTATTTATTTATTTCCCACACAGTAGGAATATATGTGGCAGGGTATTCATGCAATTGTACCAAACATTTTTACCCTTGCGCATGGCGCTCGGCAAACGGCTCCATTTACTGTTCTAGAACATTTGAAACACTGTTTCTGGAACGATATGAAATTAAGTGCACAGAGTGTTCTGGAACAGGGTTTAGTTTATTATATATGCGTGCAATCATGCATTACTATATTCATTAGTATTTAGTTATTTGCATAATAAATCATAATGATTTGCTGTTTTTTGTATATTTAAGTATGCTTTTGTAACGTTTTTACTTGTTGATTTTGCCCAACTCTGGCGTTTAAATAGCATATAATAAGTATATGTCAATATATAGCGGTTAACCCTTCAAAATAACACTCTATGCAGTGTGCATTGGATACACAAAATCTGTCGCCTCCATTTCTAATCATGTGAAAATGGGCAGTGTCACGTGTCTGTTCTGGCTTCCCCTACTCGAAAATCGGGGTAGTCAGAACAGTTCAGAACAGCAGAACAGTTCAGAACAGTCATGTGACTGACATGCAGTCATGTGACTGTCTTCTGTTCCATTCCATTAGTGTTCTGAAAATCCGGAGTATTCCAAACAGTAAATGGAGCTGCTTGCAGGTGTGCATCATTGAGTCACTACCTCATCCCTGGATATGAGGTTGCATTGAGTCGTATTGCACCCTACTTTCTTATTTTACTCGTCCAATGCCAGACGAGTTTACTGGTCAAGGGGAGAGCGCTGGTACTTAATGGGTTAATTATATATTTGTTTGAATTTTCCCAATCATCAGGTTGATCGCTGATTTTAAAATTATGTTTTATACAGTATGTGTTTAAAACTTTATGTGTTTTATACTTGAATATGCCAATAGCTACAATACTATCTAATATTTTTCACTGGATTTTAGAGAACTATGCAGTGTGTAGTAGGAAATAAGTAAGCATTTCAAAAGTCAATTAAACTGTCAATGTTGAACACGTCTAAACATAGACTTGCTACATTATATATAAATCAGTGTTACCGACCCGTTCTTGGGTCAGTAAAATATGGTGCGCTGCAAGTTGGAAAAGTCCTTCATTTCGTGACTTACCACCAATTAACTTCTGCAAATTCCTTACTGTTCAAGAAATTACAGTACTTCCTTGAAAATTCCTTCGTTCTAAACAAAGATGAAGGACTTTGCAAAAGTCTAGTCTAAACACAAGTGGCCCAATCTCAGAATGAATGATCAGGTTATGCAGGTTTTCAAAGGCTTTTATAAACAAATTTATACTCAACCAAAACTATTCTAGAAACATTCTTAATTGAGGCAAATAAATACATTTTAACAGTAAAATATAGTTCACATGATGATAGTATACCTTTGCATTCTTTCATTTACTCCATGAGCTCATTTAGAGCGGTTGATGTAACATTTTCTGTGGCCTATGCACAGCATCCCAAACTCACATGTGGTTGGGAACTTGGGATGTATTTGTATTTTTATATTAGCTTCAGTATGACAGAATATATATTGTCAAAAAATGCTAAAATACTATATTAAATTGAGAAATAAGGTCGCTTGCCACTACTACAATGTGTAATTGACTTTTCTGGGTTGATTTGGGGTGACTCAATCTGCTTGAGATACGTCTACATAATAAGAAGAAAAAAATTCTCCTTATTTAAGAGACGTATGTATATCAAGCAGATAAAATCACCCCAAATCAACCCAGAAAAATCAATTACACATTGTAGTAGTGGTAAGCAATCTTATTTCTCAATTTAATACAGTATATTAGCATTTTTTGACAATATATATTCTGTCACACTGAAGCTAATATAAAAATACAAATACATCCCGACCACATGTGAGTTTGGGACGCTGTGGTCTAAACGTTTACGTTCATTGTTGTGAAATCAATCGCAAAAGTTATCCTCATTAGCAACTATTTCAATTTGGAAGGTTTTAACTAGACGATATGAAAGAACAGGCCCTAGTGGACTTTATAACATAATAAAACTCTTACCTTTTTGTTTACACGCGCTGATATTGTGCTTTCACTTCGGCATATTAAAAACCTTGTTTTCAAAACCACAGGGAAGTACTCACATGACATTCGATATGGTCACAGAATAGGAAGTTATACCAGAAGCGTAACTCTAGTCGTTTCCCTTATTGTTTGACGTCCACAAAAATTTTAACTCGCTCACGTCAGGCCACGCCATCCTGGCTAGTACAGCCGGAAGTTTTTATCAGGATTTGGTAGGTACAAAGTGCCGGTTGTACTAGCCAGGATGGCGTGATTGATGACGAATCGCTTGTAAAAACGCGGACAAATATTTGCTCGAGTTACGCTTCTGGTATAACTTCCTATTCTGTGATATGGTTGTGAACTCACTCATTTCAATCACTCAGAAGTAAAAATGAAAAATGTAGCCATTTCTTCTCTGATCAGGGCATTTTTTAAGAAATTGCAACTACTGGGGCCAAATCTCAATGAGGGCCTTTTCCCCGCACAGTTATGCCTATAATTTCCCGTAATTTTTTCGTACATTGATTAGTTTTTAATCAGTGGCACTCAAATATTTTAGTTTCTTTCCTTCCTATCCAACTGGGATTAGATAATTTGCCGACTACCTGACGACTGGGGGTGTTCCAACCCCCGCACCCCCCTTTAGTGCCACCCCTGCATGTTCTGACTTTTATAAGATGGAATGTCGAGAATGTGAGAAGACATGAGAAAGCAGGCAGATGCAGCTTTTTCAAAAGGGCCCAGTTCATCTGAAAATCTTGCTTCACTAATGGGCAAGCAAAGGGCGTACTGGGGTAAATGCCCCATTTAACGCCGACGAAAGACCGATTTTCTCAAGACACTTCCACTGGATTACTATCACTCTCATACAATTCATACCATATACTATCCCAATCAAGAGAAGTTGCATCCGCTATTTTGCAATCAATGTTAATGCCATCCAAAACTTTTAGAGACAAAATGTCACATTCGTTGTCAAAATGATAATTGTCAAAACCACCAAGACGCGTGCAGTCCATTCCATCGTCTCCAAATAAGATGGGCTCATTGTCGTTCTCTGTATTGCCTTGTGTGAAATAATATTGCTGTTTCTTTGCATAACTTTCATAAGCTGGAAGTGAATTGCGCATCTTCTGAACATCTTCTACTTTATTGAATGCAGCGTTTAAACGGTTTTCATCAGTTGCACAAGCAACATGAAAGCAGGCGAGTGCATAATTTTGTCCATTGAGGGCGCAAAACATGGTTAAAGTCCCAGTTCCCTGGACCTGAGGTACATCATCTTTCTCGTTTTCTTCAGGTACTCGTAAAGGGTTTTGACTGGTATAACTGGGGTTACTGCAAGCTAATACACCACCACCAGGTGCTGGTGAGACAGAAGATGATTTACATCTCAATTTACTTGAAAGGAGACCCAAATATTTAATTTTTGGTTTTCTTTTAGGTTCTCGAAGAAGTTCATAGTGTTCCTTAGCGTCGTCACACTTGAATTTCTCTTCATGTTCACGTCGTATACAAACGATATCTTCACTCCTCTTTTAACTGTGAGGTACAAATGTGGACGAGGGATGTTTTTGTTTCGACCAACCAGCCCATACGCTCCACACAACCAAGGAAAACTATACACAGGCAATGCCATATTAATAATGCAAAAACAACCACCAAAAATTCAATTCATTAGTTCTAGATTCATAAAAAGCAATACCATTGCTCCAAACATTTATTCATTTCACAAAGTAAGTATGTTAGGGATGTGCAAGGGTGCATATATTATTTTGAACAGTCTTTGCCAGTGTAGGTAGTGGCAATAATAACAAAACTTGGGTTGATAGGGATACAACTACCTGAAAAATACAAGGAGAACTTCGACGTTTTGAGTGAAGCCTCAATAATTGATTCATTGCGTAGAATTCGAGCTCATATCAGGGAATGTTACCAGCATGGGCGTACCGGAAGGAAAAAATTAGGGGGGCGGCAAGAAAATTGCCCGACTTTTCGAGATTCTGCCCGACTTTTCGGGATTCTGCCCGACTAGGACCAAAAAATTTTTTCCGGAAAAATTATTTTGGCGACCTCCCCCCCCGTCGCCAAAAAAATTTCGGTCAGTGTACCATTTTAGGGGTCAAAAAAATTTTCCGGACAAACAATTTTTCCGGAGTATAACATAAATTTTCGAAAAAAACAAAATTTGCCAAAAAATTGAATTAATTTTAGACAAAATTGACAGAATTTGACCCATTTTTTTTTATTGCAAACCAAAATTGCCCGACTGTTCATCGAATATTGCCCGACTGCCCAAAAAACTGGGGGGGCTGCCGCCCCCCCCGCCCCCCCGCCCGGTACGCCTATGGTTACCAGTATAACAGAAAAGCGTTCTGTATTCAAAAACTACCACCTGAGGACATATCTGAATTTGCGCTGATGTCATATAATATGTAATACTATTACATTCAGTAATATGTAATTGTGTATGTGTTGTTTTTAATTTCCTTGTAATATGTAAGTTTTGTTAATTTTACGCAATTCAGCCAATTCGGCTGCCATGTAAGATCTATTAAACTATCTCTCTATCTATCTGAGAATTAAATTGAATTAGTAGAATTAAAAACGTTGGATTAACCTCATTGGTTATTAATTTAAAGAGGGATTAGATTCTGTAAACAAGCTTTCGTTCATGATAGGGATGCAACTACCTGAAAAATATAAGGAAAATTTCGACGTTTCGAGCGAAGGCGCTACGTCGGGAGTTTGGCAAGTAACTCCAGACCAAGGACCTTCGCTGGAAACGTCGAAATTCTCCTTATATTTTTCAGGTAGTTGCATCCCTAGCAACGAAAGCTTGTTCATATTATTGCCACTACCTACACTGACACAGACACTTCAAGATTAGATTCTGTGGTTTTCTGATGGATGTGAATGAGTAGATGAGTTATGAATGTTCTGAGTATATGTACCCTCATCTCAACATTTATATCCACTCGTTCACATCCATCAGAAGAAGAAAATCGCACTTAAAATCGCAGCAAAAATTTGCGAATCTAAAAGGGGCCTTTAGGAATCGAAATTCACCAAATGTGTAGAACTTCTGAAATGGCAATAGTTTAGTTTTACCGCGCGAAATTCAAAAGTTTAATAGTTTTTGCGCGCGAAATTCAAAAGGTTAAAACGCATTTTGAGTTCATGAGCGAGAGCATTGTTATGTATTTTATTAATGGTCCAAATATCAGAAAATTTGCTCAATTTCAAGTCCTTCAAATACCTGCTGAAACTTTCATTTTTTGGCACCAATGTCTTTCACGCATGCATAATTCATGCATTTACCTAATTTGCATTTGTGATTGTAAAAACATTACGGACCATTAAATATTTTTCGCCTATGAACTCAAAATGTGTTTCAACCTTTTAAATTTTGCGCTCCTAAAAAATATATCCCCCCCCTGCTCTGGAATATCTTTACGAAATTGCTTTGTTTATTCTACATTATAAGTACCCAAACAGTCTATATTTATCAAAAATTTCATGACATGAACAGATTTGTGAAATTGACAGCCGTTTCAAAATTGTTTACTATTTTCTGATACACCATGTAGATAGAAAGATAGATGGTTTATTTCATTTTACATTGCAGCCAATAGGCTGAATTACGCTTATAGTTACAAGTTAAGAAAATATTAAAATACTATACACCATCTCTAAAGGGATCTAGGAATATTTATAATATTATACGCTAACTAAGAATATTAATCCAAGAATATTAAAATACTATACACTAACTCTGTCTCTAAAAGGATCTGAGAATATATAATACCGTAAACCCTCCGATGAGCTTATATTCTTTCGTACGCGATTTTTGATGGCTTAGCTTATACAAGGGCCCTAGGGGGCTTATATACGGAATATACATGGACGATCTTTTGTGTTAGTAACTTAGTAATAAACAAGTCAGTCATAAACAGGAAAATAAACATGTATTAATAACGCGCTTTGATTTATAGTCAAAATGATTAGACGGATATGAATATCTTGATTACAACTAAACAATTTACAATACCTGAAGAGTGGGTCTCCACTGATTGACAAACTCTCGATATACTTCAGCTCTCTATACGCTCTCGCACACTGTCTCAATATCTCAATACGATACTTGCCTTCGATACTCTCTGGATACTATTACGTCATGCACATTTGCCAACACTTAGGCAGCGTTTACACTGTACCGTTTTCGTAGCGTTCTCGTATTGTTCTTAATCCTCAAGGGAACGCAAGACAATAGTCTAGTTCTCTCGAACAATACGAGAACGCTACGAAAACGGTACAGTGTAAACGCTGCCTTAATCACCATAGTTAATCAATAATTCAATCAGTTACCATGGAAATCAAACAGGTTAAATCAAATAGAATCTTGTTAAATCAAACTAAAGATAATTATTAATCATCTTCAAATAGTTTGTAAACTGTCCGAGGTTCAATTTGAGCTTCTTTTGAGTGTCAATGCCGTTTTTGAACAGCTGGAGGGTGACTGACTACATCATAGATATCTTATATAAACTAGATAGCGCATCTCTTTTAGTAAAATTGATGCCCAGAATATTCCAGCGGTTACCCCCATTTGAATAAATGGCAGCCATGTTGGAGTTTCCCACTCGCTAGTTGTAAGGAGGTTAAAGGCATTTTACATTACATAACGCGTCATGGCGTGTGGACGTGTGAAAATTTGCTCAACGTTTATTGTTGCAATTTTGGCTGCTCTGTTGCTGTATCTCCGCGTCAACTACATGAGAGAATCTAAATATTATCCAGCTGATACTTCAGTATCATATTTTCCTCTTGGTACATTTCCTGCAATGTCCTGGCGATATTTTAAACCAATTTTAATCAAGCCCACAACGAATGGTCGAAAACCATCAACTCATTCATCACGTAGGTTTAACAATTGGATTAGTTTTGTCTCGGGCCTCTTACTGCTGTGTGGAGACTGCCTCGTCCCCAGTCGCTTATTAGTTGCGGGCGTGCGCCTTTATCGGGCTTGCAGTGCACGCGCTGAACTATATATTACTGATATTTAAATACGTTGATCTCAGTTAAATTTGATCTACATAGAGGAGCCTGTGGAGGAGGCAGGGGAAAAACCATGTTTTTTGCATTTTACGTCGTCCTACTGTTTCCGATTCCGAGCAGCTGGGAAATTTGTTGCGCATGCGTCAACTCTAACTTACGTGGAGACCACGCAATTATTATCGCGCGTGGTGGCGGGATCTTTAAATTCGTAAACAAAAACATGTCCGGCAAATTTTTTTTCTGTGTCTTGTTTCTTTGGCTTGTTTTGAACGCTGTTTTTGCAGTTCCAAATAAAAAGAACCTTTATTGTGCCGTGTGTGGCAAATGCTGCAAACAAAATTTAAATACTACAAGAAATAGCCTTCCACAAAGCGCTCTTCTGGAGAGTTTCTTCGGTGTTTCGTGCGAAGAGACAGGGCTATTATGTTCTACTTGTCGAAGAGCTTTGTATATATACAGAACCACAGGAAAAACGTCCTTTCAGGTAATTTTTTTACAACTTTTAATAAGCCAAGTG